AGAATAGTTCCTGTGAGAGCTCTAGGAGAGCATATGACAGACCTTCTAGCTTTTTAAATTCTTTTAGTCACCTTCCGAAGGTCTCAGGTACATATGGAAGCCTACAGAAAAGTGAACGAAAGAAAGATGAGGTGATTAAAAAAGATGCATCTGAAAAACATGAGAGTAGTCAGCACGTGAGCAATACAGAAAATAGTAGTAACAGTAATAATGAAAATGTAGTCGCAGAAGAGCATTGCTCATTTGATTGTATTTCTACTTCATATATACCAGCCATAATAGACAAAGGCTTACAGGATGAAACTTCCTTAAATAGAAATTTACTGGATGATTATGCATGCAACCATTCAATACAGAACACAATGATAGTTAATGTTGAAGACAACAGGAGTGACAGCCTACAAAAAGCTTCAGGTTCACTTAGGCAGATGTCTCCAACCTTTTCTTATCTTGATGCAGACGACAAACAACGTACAAAAGAGAGGGAGTTCTACAGTATTTGTGTTGTAGATGCTGAAGATCTTAGAGGTGATGAAGAGGGGCCAGTTACCATGCATGAAAAGATTGCAGCAGACATAGATAACTCAGCTGTTACTGATGAAGGAATGCACAGCATGGCATGGCCTCTAGACAGCGAGAGGGAATTTCCAGTGCAGCAGTCAGCACAAGTGGAATCTAAGCTTAATTCACAGAAAGAACCGTCTGTGTGTAAAAATGAGGATATATCAAACGTGCAGAACAAGGAAACAGGGAAATACTGTAGCATGGTCATCCAGTCTTCTTACAGTAGCTCACCAACTGACAAATATCAGATGCATAGGTTAAACATGGGCAGTGTAGTAACAAATGGTTTAAAAGCAGAAGCATGCAACGAAGTTGTCCCTGAGAGTCAACAAGAGGAGGAATATAACACATGTAATGGTGTCAGTTGGGATGAATCATTTTGTAGAAGTTGCCATTCTGTAAAAACCGTGGATTCTGCTGGAGAGGACCAATACAGCCCTAATTCAGAAAACATGAAACATGTTTGTGATTGTATTTCTAGTGTATCATTAAAAACTGAGCCATGCAATTCAGGAAAAATTGAGGGAGATAATTCTGATTTTGTACTGAATGGTTTAAACTTGCATCCCTCAGGTGTTGTAAACAGTAAACAAGTGGTAGAAAATATGAGGGGCAGCTTTAAATTATTAGAGTTGCATGAAACAGACAGTGATTCTTTTTTGATGAGTCAACGTGCAGAAAAAAATGGTGAAGAATGCTTCATCCTAAAGCCAGGATGTGAAGAAAACCCATATGTGGAAAACAGAACATCTCAAAGCATGTTTTACGATAGCCAAAATCTTGCACCTGGCTCTAGTGAACATCACAGCGTCTGGGGAGAATTCTTGAAAGATAAAGAGAAATGCACAGGTACAGTTCTGCATAACCTTGAAACTTTGAATATGTCTGAAATGCATGAAAGCTTGGAAGAAAGTTCTGATTTTCAAACTCAAATTAAGGGTTGTACTGAAAGCAAGGTGCCAGCTGGAGTGGTGTCTCTACGGAGCATAGAGGAAGATGTCTGTATGAGAAGCACCAAGCTAAAAGACAACGTGCTTGAAGAAGCTGGTAGCTTCAGCAGAACTCAGTCGTGGGTAAGTGGTGGTACTTTGTCATCTCGTGAACTAGATAATGCAAGAACAGATGAAATAGTCCTACAGAAAAACGGCATCAAATTTCAGATTTCACGACAATCACCAGGGAATAAAGGTAAAGTACACAGCTTTTCAAATTCAGATAAGGAAAGCAGTGTCTCTTCTGTGTCTGTGGAGCATGAGGATGTGAACAAAATGGGCTTGAACTGTGGACAAGATAAACAGCAGGATGTATGTTCCTTCTATGCAATGGAAAATCAGTGGAATGCAGGGACTGACTTAGCCACAATAGCTGGGGATATAATAGAATCTGTGAAACAGACAAACACTGAAGTTCACCCAAACGAAACAATTAACAACGAGGCAGAAAATGCAAAACACAATTCTGATGCTAACATCGCTGATCGTGACAGCAACAGCTTAAATTTCAGTAAAGACTTGACTCATGATAGAAGTACTTACTGTGAGTACACTCTACCTGTAATATTGGACAGCTGTGTGTGTGGGAGTGGGAAATTGATAAATGACTCTAAAACCCTTGAAGATACTAATAGTCTTTTTCATAACGACTGTAATTTTTTACCTTCATTGTGTCAAAATTCATATTCTCGTGTGCATGATAAACCAGTGGCAGAGGATCAGACATCTGACTGTGTCTGTCCAAAACCAGAATTTGGGAATAGTCAAGTTTCTTTTGGTCCATTTACTGAAATACAACCGGAAACTCCTGAAAAAAGTGTATGTGGCACAAATGAATGTAATCTTCAGAATGAAGTGGAACACTGTGTCAGTATTGACTCCAAGGAGGAAAATCTCACTGTCTCTAGTTTGTCATCTGTAGGAGCTTTTACCACTGGGAATTTAAAGCTAGAAGCTGAGACTACTGAACTAAAAGATGCCAGTTACATATTAAACACTCCAGCGAAAGACTCGACCACAAGTTGTGAACACGTGCAGTCAGATCACAAGGTTTTCTCAAACAAAGAGCTAGGATTTTTTGTTGACCCAGAGCAGGTAGACAAATACGCTGCTACTCCTTCATATGAAATACACAGTACTTGTGCTGTTGCCAAAGGATTTCAGGGAGTGAAAAGTGAGAAGTGCATATTAGATCCAATGGAAGACGTATCAAGTAACCGGGAATATTCCTATAAACTGAACAGACAAAATCCCCAAGTTGAAATGCGGTCACATTGTGTAAGTCTCCCAAGTGGCAGTGCTGATCTGACAAATCAGCTGTTTCCTGACACTATCACTACTGGTAATGGTGAATACCTGATGGGCTTTTTATGGAATAATACAATTCTTAATGGAACTGTAAAGAGTGATGGACAATATATAGATGGTGAAAACTTCCAGAACGAACCTGAGGATCTAGCAGGTGCTTCGTATGCAGTGGGAAGATACCCTTATCAACTGCTAGCTCTAGAGAATGTTGGTGTTTGGGGCTGTCAAGATAAAGATGAATTTGTAAGTATTCTGCACAAGTGATTTGATGTAAAATCTTTAGACTGGAGCTTAAATTGAAATAAACTAAGTCAAACTATGTTTTCATTGAATAGTTAACTGTTTCATATGGTTTTTTTTATCCTGAAGCTGACTACTCATTTCTTTCCTTTGCAAAGTTGAATGTTAAACAGAATGTAAGAGTCCAAAATGTTACCAAATGTTGATCTTTTTTCATTTTTGATTGCTTACCATGTCTGAAAGCTTGAATATCTTGGGTAAGGTATCTTGATTGCAAGTTATCAATTCTAGATGAACTTGAGGTGAACACTTCAATGCATGGAACACAGTTAATTGTGCTCTTTACCTTTGTATTGGAAAAAAATGTTTGTGGATTTCCTGAAGTCTTAAAGTTTTTGCTTGATAGCAGTGAGAAAACCTTTTGCTCACTTCTGGAGATCTTTTTCCAAAGTGCTGTAGAAACAAATGGCTACAGGAGAAGCATGGGGATGAACTCGACTGCATCTTGGCTACCTGGGTTAAGAAAGAAACAAACCTGACCTGTGACAGCTGCTGCTCTTCATCCTCTGCCATTGGGCAGAGCCACTGCTTAGTATTGTTTTCTGCAGCGACCATGTTACAGCAGCTGCTCTGACCTTGCCCAGCAATTGAAGTGCCAGAAGCAGATCTCACTAGCACCTAAGTTCATCTTCTAGGGAAGCTTTTTGCATTTAATAAAATGGAAACAAGTAGCACTTGCTGTCATCTTTGAATCCTTACTACCAATGTCCAGCATGTTTTCCACATTTTACCAGCCCTCTCTCTGTCACTCGGTACATGTGTTTAAGCTGAGATCTTTCTCCTTGGATCTGTGGTTGTTTTGTTTTGTTTTTTTTAAAAAAACAAATCTTTTGGGTATGTTTTCCATGATAATAACTTACATGGATGTAAATGTTCAGAATAATCAAAGCTTCATGGAGATACAAAATGCTTGTCTTGAATTAGGTAACTTTTGAAGCATCCCTTAATTCACTAAACAAATTTAAGTATAAATAGTGTCTGATTTCATGAGCAATGCTCTTTCTCAACACAGTAATCATATTAATACATGCCAAAGATGTGAGCATGGAATAACTTCATACGTTTTGCTTGGGCAATAGCAAAACAAGACAACTGTCTTGCGCTATTGATGGAAGCACTGTAGTTGCTGGCACTGCAGAGAGCAGTCTCTGAAGTGCAAATATAACCACATATATAATGATTATATATCATCATACGTTACCATTAAGTTTAACTATTTCTAGTCCAGGTCAAAAAACGGTAGATCCAAACGATTTAACTGAAACTGTTAACTGATTCCTTTTGTCCTGTCTGAGGAAAAAAATTACTCTAATTTTTTGTTAATACTCTGTTTATTTCTGTAAATAACAATACTAATCACATATGTCTGATTGCATTCAATTTTACCTAATACTTCCTTAAAACTCTTGCAGATGACTGAGTCTAAAAGGAGAACAAGCATGGTTTTATGTTTTCTTTAAGTGTTCTTTTGCAGAAACAGAATGAAACCAGTCAGTGTTAATGTATATTAGAGACTGCCTAAAGTCTAGTTCAGGTACGAGGCAAGTACAAGTTGTGTTAGTTTGTCAGAAGCAAAAAATGAGTTCTTGTTTGCTGCTTGGCTAATCTTTTCTGGTCTTTCATAATATGAAAAATGAATTCTGTGCTATACAATTTAGTTACTTTTGTACCTGAAATCACTATTGGACTTCAGTCATTATACTCAGATGTGAAAAAACCTGGCGTTACTGTATTGAGATGTACATCTGATACTGTGCTTTGTAACTGTAAATATAAGTACATAGGTATGTGCTATGTATCCGTGAAGTGTATAACCAAAAAAAAATTATTTTGTAGGAGTCAGCCAAGGTTTCTGAGTTAAATCCGAATGCAAAGGTGTGGGGAAATCATATGTTACATTTGGAAGCAAGTGGTGCCACTGATGGTAGTGTGAGCAAAACGTGGGAAGAAATACCTGACCAGCCTCCAGATTCATGTAAAGAAGGTAAAAATCATATTGTCTTTAGCTGTTCCTCAAGCAAGAGTTAAAATTCAGTGCAGAACCTTTTCAATTTCATATTTAAAAAAAAAAAAAAAAAAGGAATGCAACCAAGCAGGCAACTCTTAGCACTTCAGATCTGGTTTCAACTACTCACATGATGCTACTGTGATCAGAAGGAGTACTTTTTGAAAGTGTGTGTTACCTCTGTGATCTCCATTGCAGGACTGGATGCTAAAGGAGATGGTGACAAAAAGCATCAGAATGCGGTGCTGACAGAGCTGCAGGAGTCATCGCCAGCTGTTTTGGTGTCAGACCAGACAGATATGAACTCTTTGGCTCTTGATCATTCTGAGTATGAGTCTATGCATGAAACTACTCAGACAGGTAACAGAAAGCATCTCTTTTTTTCTCTGGACTTAGATATGTTTAAAAAACGTATTTTTCCACGAAATTGGCCTCATGAGCTACTGTACAGAAACTATTGTAACTTTTGGATGTAACTCATTAGTGTCTTCTGAAATGTTATTTTGAATGTGGGTCCTTAGTATATGTACATGAGATATCTACATACCTAAGCTTCATGCTTTGTATTTGGGTCAGGCACAGAGGTAAAATTCATGTAATACTTTCACAAGTATTAATGTGGTGAATTAAAGATGAGTCTTGTCATTAAAACTCTAACATAAGCAACAACTTAGTTTAATTTCTTTGACTTCTGTGATTCAATACAGTTGTTAGCAGTTGTAGTCTACACCAAATGGTATGTTTTAAGAAACTTCTGGAAACCAGTGTAAGGATTAAACTGCTTATATTTCATGGGACAGAAGGTCTGCTAGATGCATATAGGATTACTATTTGAACTAAGATGAGAGGTGAGGAAGAAGAAAATGTGTTGGGTGTTTCTGTTGATCACAACTGTTAATATTTCATAACTACATATATGAAACCAACTTTTCTGAGTTAGTGTATTAGGAATTTAGAGCGAGGCTGGGATTGAGAAACGATTTGCCATTCCTTGCTTGCTGTTTTCTTGGGTTTAGTCAGCTAGTAATTGGTTAGTTTCATAAAACTGAAAGACAGATATGAGTTAAATGAGTTCAGTATTTACTGGCATGTTTGAAGCTGCTCTTCTAAAGCAGCTTCAAATTTGAAAACTTTAAAATTTTATTAAACTTCAGGTGGAAATGAACAGTTGCTGCCAGAAGGTCAGGAAGATCTACGAGAATTACTGAAAAAAACACTGGAATTTTGCTTATCTAGGTATGTATGAACGTAGCAAACAAGTGGATAACTAACAAGGTCCCATACCTAATTTGGCATGTATATTAATGTATTTCACAGCAACCAATTAAAACTGAAGAAATGATGAGAATTTAGAGGAACTAGCACAAATATTCCATAATATCATATTGATAAACCTCTTAGAGATGTTTTTGGCCTAAAACATAAGCTAGTAAATGTACTACTTTGAAGTAAGAGTTCTTAAAATTCATGTGAAGTGAATGTGCTTGTACAATTGTTACTGGGTTTCTTTTGCAAATTAAAAGTGAGTAGCTTAATCCCTTTGAGCTTTGCGTAAGCTAACCTTTCAAAATTTTCATTGATACAAACTAGCATTTTGTGCATGTAGGTTCCTTTAAGGTAAGAGTCAGCTAAAAAAAAGTTATGGGTTCTGAATAGTACACATTCTAGTGTAGACTACAAGCTCATCAAAGCAGTTCATTTGTAATTAACTGTTCTCGGGGCTTGTATCGTAGTTAAAAATAATAATAATAAATCCTGAACACCTGTTTTAGTAACACAGAACAATTCCTAATCCGTGTACTCCTGCATCATCGTTTACAGCCAGTAGTCATTTGAAGTAGTAAATACTTTAGTGTTTCATGCTTGTGGGGGTAAAGTGCTGCCTGAACAGGAAGATGCTGTTACTAAGGCATGAAGGGGGGGGAGAACACAATTCCGTTTTCATGGTTTCTGTGAGGTAGAGCTAATGAACGTGGTAAGTGAATGGGCTGGGGAACAGGTGAAAACACTGAAAATACAGCTTACTGCAGGAGTCTGCCTTCTACTTTGCGATACAGAGCTTTTGTCTCAAGTTCATTAAAGATCAGGAAAAGTTATGTCTATGACATGACCCCATTTTTTTTCTCCCAACAGAGAAAATCTTGCCAGTGACATGTACCTTATATCACAGATGGACAGTGATCAGTATGTGCCAATAATGACAGTAGCAAACCTCGATCATGTCAAGAAACTCAGTACTGATATGGATTTGATTGTTGAAGTGCTGAGATGTAAGTAAAAATTGCTCAATACTAAAAAGCATTTTGGTTATTGCTGTAGGACTCTATTAGATTTTCAGTATCTTTTTGTTGTTTGTCACATTACAATCAAATTATCCTTTTCCTATAAAACTTTAAATAAAGCATCTTCAAGTTTAGATCATCACAGTTACAGTGAGATCTACTTCGCGTATGAAGTATTGAGTAATGATGTATGTAAATAAGAATAATATGAATTTAATTTCTCAGAAAAGGAAACTGGATGTTACCACCAAAGTAGGAAGAACAAGACTTGATGTGCAGCTTAAAAGGAATAGCTAATGAATTGGAATTTCTTAATCTGAAAGACCAGAAAGGATTTTAAGAGTTTAAAGAATGTTTGTTCAGTTTCATATTTGAAAATATCAGTTATCTTCAATTTTTTAATGTTAAATGATCAAAAATATTCAGTGCTAACAAGTTTACAGTAAAACTATGTCCACAGCTTCATCCTGTATGCCTCGTTGTTATGATTGCTGACAGCTAAAGTATGTTTCTTTTTTCTCTTAGCGTTGCCTTTAGTCCAAGTGGATGAGAAGGGAGAGAAAGTTAGGCCAAATCAGAATCGCTGTATTGTGATTTTACGTGAAGTTCCTGAATCTACCCCCATCGAAGTGAGTAACTGTTCAATAAGGAATCTTTCTCTTTTAAGATTTGGAAGTTAGATTTTTTTTTTCCAGCTTTCAATAAGAATATTGTGTTTCTTAACTATTAACTGCATTTCTAAATCTCAGTAGTGACTGTTTGGATAGCAAGTATTTGGCAGAAGCATGTCACTCATAGGAACACTGCAGTAGAATCTGTAGTTCTACAGAGGGCTGAATAACTGACACTGCTGTGTTCAGGAGAAATGAGCATTATTTTCTTGGACTCTGGCTTCTCTGTACGCACTGAACTCTTAGCTACTTGGATAAATAGCAAACAAAAACAAAGAAAGATATACCTAATGATCCCTGCTAGCTTATGGAGCTAATATAACAGTAGTGAGGTGGATTCTTTGAATGTGTAAGTAGTAGTTACATTAAAAATTTACAGTAAGGTAAATGGCCTTAATATACAGAGGTGTAAAACAAGATGCTAAAAGGAATCAGAGGGAAGCAGTCAGATGTGTTATATGCTTTAAAATACCTGTTCCTTTGAAAGGCTAAACTTCCTTTAGAAATTTAAAACACTTCTCAGCTTTTAATATCTTAGAGTGCTTTTCTTGCTGTCACCGGGTTATCATGTTGGATATATTAGCATTAAGTAGTCTCTCTTAAATGCTTACAAGTAAAACACTAGCAGAGTTCTGAGAACTCTTCATTTTCATAATAGGTGGTCTTAAGGAGGTATTTTACATACTGTGTTTACATTTTCCAGTCTGACAATTTTAGATTTAATCATTCAAACTTACTGGGATGTGTTTTCTGACTTAGCATGGGCAGGCTTTATTTAAGCAGCAGTGTTCCAACGAACTGCAGGTCCTCCCAAGCTGCTTTGCTTTTTGATGCTGCTTGTCTTCATTTGGTGACAAAAATAAATAGTATAATTGAATAGTATAGTGAAATAATTTTAAGAAGTCTAAGATGTATTTTTTTAATATAGAAATTAGCTCTTTATTTTTTTAGGTAACATAAGTACTGCTCTCAGATACACTCATCTGTAGCCACTTGAGTTAAAGTGCACATCCCAGTTTCTGCTGAAGGGGCAGCAATCTCTTATCCTGTGCTGGTTTGGTTTTTGTGTGATTCCATGGATTTGTAGACAAGGGAAGTATCATTCACTTGATGGACACTGGTGCCTCACAAAAAGAGTAGCCAAGAAGTGGTCTTAACTGTTAGTGATAGGAAAGATAGAACAGCTATTCAGAAGAATCTGCACTTGATGCCGAACTTAAGTCTCTCTCATTTGCCTAAATAACTTATCTCCCCTGATCTCAAGGGAGCAAGCAGCTTCTGCTTGTGACATGTCCTAGGCAGTGCTTGTTTTTATTTCTCCTAACTAATGGGGAGCTTAGAGAGTTAGCATTCAAACTTGAGAACAATTGCTCTCCTCAATTTCTGTTTTATAAGCTGAAATGTACTTACAAGGAATTCTAGGATTTCATACTTTAAACTGCTGTTTTTTTCTACTTCATTTCCCTCACGCGCTTCTCTATCTTTTTGTCAAAACCTCTTTCCTTAGGAGGTTGAAGCACTTTTCAAAGGTGATAATTTGCCTAAGTTTATCAACTGTGAGTTTGCCTATAATGACAACTGGTTCATCACATTTGAATCGGAGGCCGATGCACAGCAGGTAATGCTTTTTTTTTAATGCATTTTAGGATATAACAGAAAATGGGTGAAATAAAGGGAGGATTAAATTGGTTCATAAGCTGTATTACAGATGTGTAAGAACTCTTGAAAGAAAGAAAAAAATCCTTTAAACATTAATGCTTCCCGTTAGCTAATACTCAGTTATCAGCATTATTAAATATAACCCTTTAAGTTTTATCTTGTTTGCATATCCTGGCTTCCTGGCCAAAGCTATAATTTTAGGTGCTAAGAGCATTGATATTTTAGATGACGCATTGAAATGTTTTATTTGTAAGACTGAAAATCTTGTTTTAAGGCTACTGAAGCACTTCTACAGTGATAACTTAAATCTCACTAAATGCAGATTAAATATGAGGGTTTTCTGTAGTCTAACATTAACAGACACTTCAAGAATTATTGTTTGGCTTAGCCTGTCAAAACTTACTTGCCTTTGTTTAAATTATATTTGACAAATTTTTCAATGACTTTTTAAAGGCTTACAGATACCTTAGAGAAGAAGTGAAAACTTTCCAAGGAAAACCCATTAAGGTAAACAGAACTTTATTTTATTTTTATGTGTACATTCTATTTTTTGTGGGGTACCATTTAATGTTTTCTAATATATATTAAGGTGGTCCAATCTCACAAATGTTTGACCTGGAGATTGGTTTTGAAATGTGGTGCGTGCTATTATACTTCTCCTTTTCCTCCTTTCTGGCTGCAGTATGTTCAACCCAGCATCAGCAGGGAAGCATTCAGCTGTTCCTGCCTTCCTTGAAGGAGAAAGCAATGACTGACAAGTGTCAAGTTTGAGATCTGCTAGTTTGAACCATCCTGATTAAATCTGAAAGGCTGCTGTAATAAATAATCTAATCTCCTTTGCAGGCAAGGATAAAAGCAAAGGCAATAGCTATAAACACATTTTTGCCAAAGAATGGATATAGACCTCTGGATATGAACATCTACACGCAGCAGCGTTACACAACATCCTTTTACTTACCTCCTGTATACAGTCCCCAACAGCAGTTTCCATTGTACAGTTTAATTGCTCCACAGACCTGGTCAACCACGCACAGCTACCTTGACCCTTCATTGGTAAGTCTCTTGCTTACAAAAGAGCTGTGTTCTGTTCAGAGTTGGTATTTTTGTTTTGAAGTTTTGAGGTGTGGTCTGGGAAGCATATGTATCCTGAAAGTGAGACTAAGATGCAGATTCTTGTTGAAAAGCAGTTATTCATATTTCTTCCCATGGCATACAGGATTGAGAACAGCATCTGGTCTCCAATTGGGACTATGGTTCTCTTCTTCACTTTCTAGCTTTTGAGGCAGAAGTTATTTTGAGAAATTCACAAAACTTTCTTTTAGTAACGACTAAGTAAAAAATTTCTGTAATGGTTTAAAAAACTTATTTAGCTGAAACTAGAATATGTATGTGAATATCAGAGTTCTGGTATGTACTGAATAAATTTAATATAATAACATAAGTGGGGATAATATAGCATCTTGATCTAGCTTAACCTGCTAAATTACCCCATTTGACATGTTATTGAGTCAAAATACTTCATGGGGTGTTTTGTTTTCTTTTTTTTTTTTTTTTGCAATAAAATATCAAACCATTTTTGTTACTTCAAAAAAAAATTACTCTAAAATTGGTTAATTTTTTAAATTGAAATTCCTTAAAATCGTGACCCTTAGAGCTAGAGTGGTAACTGTAAGTCCTTCTACATATTCTGTTGAGGCATCTACTGCATCCTGCTGTGTTGCTTCTTCATTGTAACAGTTTTCACTGTTTCTCATTTTCCTTTGTCATCCTGTGAAAACTAATATTCATATTATTTTCAGTTAATTACTTGAGGACTAAGGTTGTTCTTCATTGGAACCCATTTGTCTCTTCCATCAGTGCCTCTTTGCTTGCAGCTAGAAGAAACTAGGGTAGCAATGCTCAAAATTAGAAGCGTTTTTGAGGTTTTTGGCAGAGGATTAAAGTGTCCTTGAACAAACTTGAGCAAACTTCCTGTGTACTGAACAGCAAACTAATTAAAAAGTTGGTGTGCTGAACACTTCACATATAAGAAAGGCAGCCAGAGCCCTTGCAGGGGAAGGCTTTGTAAGGGGCATAAAGAATGTGGAAGAGACAAAGTAATGTAGTGAACTCTGTTTTTTCAAGAGACAGCCACCTTATTAAGCAGCAACTAGAATGAATGCAGCTCTTCCACTAGAAATGCTAAGATTGACTACTGTACAGTTTTGCTGTGAGATATTGGAATTATCAGATGGCACTGATGTAGAAGATGTAGATTGACTGGCCACAGGTTCAAGCACAACACTGTATCTGCCTGATGTCATCCTGGAACTTTTTGTACCCCAAAAAGCTTACTAGTTCTGGCTTTTAGGAGAAGGCTGAAGGTTTGCCCGTACTGAATATCTGATACCTTTCTTAGTAAAAATAGAGAACTAACAGACAGAGCATTGTCTTCTGCTGTTTCAGCATACTGCCATTAGTTGGATGCATTCCTCTTTGGCATTTGGCTGCATTTTGTGTACACAGATGTAGTGTGATCTCTCTTGAACCTCTGTGGTGATCATACACCAACAAGGAAGAGCTATATATAAGAATAAATTACTTGTGAAGAGAATAGGGATCAAGAGGAACCATGAGACTTGCAATAGTTTACACGAGATAGGATTGCAGTTTGCATATTTCCATCCTCTTCTGCTTCATCATAAATGCTGTGACAGTTCTTCCTCATCTCTAATTTGAGATTCAATACACTGTATTCATGGAAATAGTTTTAATTCTGAAACTAGAGTATGGCAACGTCTTCCAAATTTGAAAATTACGTACTACTTCATAAAGTATTTAATGGTATTTGAAGAAAAAACTACATTGTACTACTTGTAAAAACAGGTGTATGTTTGAGGAATTGAGTGACTTTTGTGCAGAAAGCAGATTAACACTTCTGGTATTGTTGGAAAATGAACATTTTCTCTCCACAAAGATCATTTTTCATTCTAAAGAAAGGAAGGATGTCTATTGCTTGTGTCACTTTAAGCAATGAGTTAAACTTATTTTCCTTTTCTGCATTCAATGCTTTTTCACCATTCTCTTCCAGTAGCTGTTGGCTTGCTTCAAGTGAATTTTATGGTGTTCAAGTTGTAAATATCAAAACAGGAACCACTTCAAATCAGTGTTTTGATAAAACTTTATTCTTTCATTAAACTCCTAAGTGCCTATTTTTGGAATGTAAGGTTGTGTTTGCTGTCGTATAGGTTATAGGCAGTCAGTAGATTGGGATGGAAGCTTTGGTGTTTAATTTTTGTTTTCATTGATTAGTGGTTTTTTCCACCTGTTACAAGAAAGGTTGAATTAGCTTCAGGATCTGTTTGTAGGAAACTGAGTGCCAGCTGTTTGAGGTGTAGATGTCATCATTTAATTATATTTAGAAGGTACTATATTGAAGTTCATTCCAGAGCATGATGTAAACGTTAATTGAAAATGTAGTCTTAGTGTTCTGCATTTTATTTACTTGGAGAGAAGACAATGGCAAGCAATTGCTGTTACTATAGTAATATTTAGTACGTTTCATTTAGACTTGAAACAAAAATATGCTAGTGAGACTGGGGAAATTACTATGAACATGATAAAATTGATCTATTCAGTATGAGACGTTGGCATGTACCCACCCCCCAGCAAATCTTTAGTAATGCTTTTTTTTCTGGGAACAAGATCACATGTGGACTGAAGTGATACAAAGCAAAGAATATCAGGTGCACGTAACATCCACTTGCTCTCTTGGCTTCATATAGGTGTCATGTGAAAGACAGCTAGAATGAGTAACTGATGGAGATTTATGTTAAGGAGTATCTTGCATATAAATAAGAAATATTTACAGATGCATATTAGAGAACAAATGTGCTTCACAGTGTAGTATGAAATAGGAGTGTTACTTACAGATGACAGTTTTGGCTCAGCGTTTTTCAGTCCTTCAAGCAAATCAGACTTGGAATGTGTGTAGTGGCAGTGTTCTCAAACGACACATCATTTAGTTACAAGGCACTGGGTAAATGCTCTATTGCTGCTGGAGGCATTCTATTAAATACTTAACTGTGTAAAAGGGTATAAAATAAAAATTTAAGAGAAAATACTCTGTTTACTTTGATTACAAGTTTGCATTGAATTTTTTTTTTAGGTAACACCATTTCCAAATACTGGATTTATCAATGGGTTCACATCTCCAACCTTCAAACCTGCTGCTTCTCCTCTGACTACACTCAGACAATACCCTCCCAGGAACAGGCAAGTACAGCTATCTTTTAACACTACACATACTGCTGAATTACCTGACATGTGAGGCTTTAATCTGCTCAGTTTAGAAATGCCATCTAACTAGAAAATACTTGTAAAAGTGAACTAGACACAAGGTTAAGTGATGCCAAAAGCCAGATGGTTTTGCTATTGTTAGCAAGGATGCTGTTTCTAGGTGAAAATAGACATGAAAGCTGGGAACTTGTCTGTTCCCCAATTTAATTCTTTTATTCAGATAAAATAATTCTGAACAATGGCAAGTGACCAGCAGGATTATTGATTCTGCATTTTCAATTTCAAATAGTTTTTAGTTACGCCATAGTTGAAAGTACAATGAAAAAGTTAACGTGATAGTTCACAAGGCCTGTTAAAATGAGTATTGGACATTCTTATAACTGAAATATACAGCAGAGGGCTGGCAATTTTGCTTCTTCTGAATTCTGTGTGTAGACTTAGGCCTCAGAAGATCTATCATAGTACGTATGTTGAAATGACTTTTGAATTTGTAGGAATCCTAGCAAGTCCCATATACGACATACAATACCCAGTGCAGAAAGGGGACCTGGGCTTCTAGACAGTCCTACAATATTCAACTTTTCTGCTGATCGTTTAATCAATGGCGTCAGGAGTCCACAGACGCGGCAGCCAGGACAAAACAGGACACGGATGCAGAATGCTACTACGAGTTACACCAAGAGGGAAGTAGGAACTGGACGGATGGAGCAGACCAGCGTTGACTCGTCTCCTGGTTTAGGTCGAGGAAGGTGAGTGTACCCTGTAGTTGTCTTTTGAAGTACGCTGTCATTGCTGCTTCTTTTAGTAAAGAAGAATGGTATTAATACTGTTCTCATTCTCATTTTAACCTGAGACTGGCTGTCCTTAAAGCTAAAATTTTGGAAAGCATTTCACAGAAAGTCCCAAATATAGAGCAAATGCAAAGTGGAATTGCATACTTTCCTACCACTACTGGCACCTGTTGAACTATTTACACGCATACATCTAATTCTTTGTACCTTTATTGTCTATTTTAACTAAGTTTTTAGCATATTGTTTGACTTTGAAGCAGTTTGGCCATTTCTTTGCTCACTGCAGCATATTGTTAATACTTTCAGTTAAAAGACTAGAATTTTGCCCATTGTAGATGTTCACAACATCAAAGATATAGATCAGTATGAAGGGAGGAAAAAGGATTACATGCAGTTAGTTAGCAAAACATTGTTAGGTAGTTTGGAGCAGGGAGTGAAGCAGGAGCAGAAAGCAGGGGAATTGAAAATTGGTAGCAACAACTTTGAGGATTTATCAGGTCTGTCTTCAATTTTTTTTAAGTACACTGCAGTTCTGTGCAATGTTACTTAGGGTTGGCTGTGCTTTTTATCTAATTTTGACTCACTGAATTGGAAGAGTCATTTGCAGATGATCCTGTGTCAGACTTCTGTTAATGTAAAATTAAGTGGGGGTTCTGTGCAGTTGATACTAAGAAATACTTTTAACTCAGCAGTGTATCCTTACTCTAACATGATAGAAATCTGTATATTTATATTAATGAGCTTGCTAGAAATCTTTACCTAAAACATTTTAAAATAAGGCTGTTTTTTCCCTCTAGAACAAAGGTGAATGAAATTATAATTAGAACTAATTTCTCCTGTTTTCTATTCACATAAAGGCAAGATTCTGATAACTGTTTTCTTTCCCTTAGGAAAAACTCATACGGCTACCGAAAGAAAAGGGAGGACAAGTTCACAGTGAGTTTTCATGATTGTATTCAACTATAATTCAAGTGCAGGGTAACGAGGCAATGTTATGGACATTACATGGAATAGCAGATGAGATAAGCTATTGCCCCAAAACTATGTAACTGAAGATAGCAGCTCATTAAATTCACATGAATTTACTGCATTTGGATATCAGCGATTATTTTCCTGACTTCTAGAACTAAGGGACAAAACTAAAATTGCCCTTTCATCATTGCAGTTAACTTTTGCCTTCCTGTTGTTTTGTTAGTGTGACTGTTCACATATGCAGAGGGCCAAGTGCCTGAAGTTTGAAACACTTGAGATTTGACTCTCATTCATGTAGATAGTGAAAAATGCTTTATAGGTCAGGTCATGGAATGCATAGCTAGAATATTAGTTATGGAGTGGTCAATTCTGTTTGTTAAATGTAACACCTCTCCTTGCTTTTTCCCTTTCTATCCCAACTCTGAGGAGAGGAATAAAATCTAGTTTCCCTTGCAGTATGGACAAAAAGCTGGGTTTTTTTTCAGGAACCACATTGTCATCTTTGTTATTTATGGAGCGTGTGTGAGGTAGATTTTTCTTTGTCATTGGCACAGAGATGTTCAGAACCAATAATGCTTGAAATACTACAATTTTTGTGAACTTAACTTCAAGGTGAATACCTAAATAGTTTTGATGCTTGAAAAGGCTGGTCTGGATAGTGGGTAGAAGAAGAAAAAGAGATATTTGTAGGATTTAGTTCTTTATTTCTTGGCAATTCATTTTTTTGCCACACATGGTAAGACTTCATGAAGTCTTACTGGATTATTTTATTATTGATATTACAGTTTCAAAGTAACATCACTTCATGAGCTCTGACTGTATCTCAAAGGCCTGGAACAGTTGCATTTATGTACTGGTGCCTCCTGCTGTTGTGTAGCTTAATGGGATGTGGATGAAAGGAACATCGGGGCTTTAGAAAGTATGAAAGGGCAAGTGGTTCCTTTTGGCTCTCGACAACCTTGTTAAAGCTAGTGAGATCAGATTACACATGGGGTTGTCAGTACTTAGTTTTTCTGTCCTTTCAGAGCTACTCGCTGCTTTTTCTATCAACTTTCCCTCCCCTTTATTTTTTCCTCTGAAAGAACAAGGAAGTAGCACAGGAATTACATACAAATGAATAGAAAGAGAAAGGATTACCTAGGACAATTAGTGAACAGAAAGGCTCTTTGTAATCAACTGACTCTAAACATAAAGTTAAAACACCTTTTAAAACTGAAAGCATGATTTCTTTGGAGACCTACTGTTCCTTTTTCTCAGCAGCAGACTTTAACTGCAGCCTGTTTAGTCATGTTCACTCTACTCTTTTGGCCAACAAAACTTTAGTCTGTAGTGTCCAAAAATAGACCTTCAATAGAGATGAGAGCAGCTGAATATTCACAGCTGTGAACACTGGTAGGTAGCGTATTCTGAAGATTGAGGTTTGAATCATTCCAACTATAGAAGCAGTCAAATCTAGGATACTGTTTTGCGTGTAGTGGTTAGTGCAAAGGACACCACTACAGTGAGTTCTATTTGAAAGGAATTATGGCTGCTTTTCATTTTTAGAAAGAGCATTTGAGGAGGATTGCATGCTTGCTTGAGAAAGTGCTTGAATCTTCTTGATCAATTTGTATCTGAGGCCATAGACATAAGACAACTACTTGACTTGAGTTAAATCAGCTTCAGAATTTTATGCAGGTGGCAGCCTAACTTACATTTAAATTTTCCCTGGTCACTCTAATTCAAGTCATCCATATATCCTGGCTACTTCTCTCTTAATTTGTTTTTTCAGGAGTGTTCTATTTAGAAGTATCTAGAAGTAGTATTTATTGCAGGACTTCAGTCCACTTTAAGAAAACAAAGTGCTGTGATTTGAAATACTGTTCTAGAAAGGAAAAGTTTGTCCCTCTTATGATTTGAGCTAGGAAAACATAGTTTCTCCCCACAACCCTTTCATAGTTTATCGGACTTCTCAGTTGCAACGTTTGCAGCCTTCATTGCTGTAATGCTTAAAATCCATGTTGCGCGGGGGATGCTCAGTCAGTAGCTGCTTTGAGAGTTGCTGTTGGTCTTACCTCTGTTTGTATTCTTTCCCTACTTCTGAATGACTCGCATTTCTTCTGACATAAAATGTAGTTTGAGATGGGACCTCAAAGGTAGTTTTGTATCTTTATTGCTCTTCATGAAAAGGAAGAGCATAGAAAGAAAGTATTGAAACACCTTTTCTATGCTATGTTCAGAAGTATTGTTCTCACATTCAGACCATATTAGCAATGTACCAGTAACTGTTTTCCATCTCAAGATAGGAATCATGTTAAAGATCACTTTGCATTTACTGTTCTGAAGCAGAGATCTTAGCATGGACACAGATTCTTTTTTGGTTAACTGACATAGACAAAGTTAATGGGTAACTTCAGTTAAAGCACATAACAAAAGGAATTTTAGTTTTTCAATGTAGATAACAGTTACAAATCCTTGCAAGCAGTCTTTATAAGTGGTCTTTTGCCTATGATACTCATTTAACTCTAACTCCTGTAAGTAGTGCACGTTTTAACCCAATAATGTATTTGTCCAGGATGTTGTTTTTCCTCTTAGATCTAGTTAGAATAATTCCGTGCTTCAAAAATAATTTTATGCTTATATTTGCATTTTTCATATTGATGAAATTAGATGGAAATTATCTTCATCTGCACTACAGACAAAGCATGCTATTCTGCTGTTTCTTGGCGTATCTAAACATGATTCTCTTTAACTTTTGTCGTTCTTCTAGGAAGTTACCAACTGCACATAAATGGACTTGATATTTTCATTTTGTCATGGTACCCAACACAATCTATTTTACTGTGTCAGTATAGTCTTGAAGGAAGCATCAGGAAGAAGTTTTAACTATACCAGTAGTGCTAAAGCTTAAGCATCTGAAATTTTTAAGGTTTCTAGACCATCCTACTTAAAGTATAATGAAATATTTTAAGAGTACCAATGGAAAATGAATTCCTGGGTACTGTGTGGTTTTCTTGGGAAGTGAGATGGCATGGGCCTCTTTAGGGCCTTGCAGCTATAAATCAAATGTAGAATGTCATATGTCCTTCCTGTATGTAGTCCATTGTGGTAACCTCACTATGTTATTTCTATTCCAGAGAGGCCAAACACAGTCTCCGCCACCCCCAAAACCTCCATCTCCTAGCTTCGAATTGGGTTTATCTAGCTTTCCTCCATTACCTGGGGCTGCTGGCAATTTAAAGACCGAAGACCTTTTTGAAAACAGACTGTCCAATGTGGTAATAGGAACGTCAAAAGAAAGAGTGAGTAGCCAGTGTTCATTCTTATTGGGGACACAGAATGAACAGAATTTCATACCTCTTGTTTCTTCAAATTTGGTGTACTGTACATAGGAGAAATTTGCAGTTTCACGTGGGTCATGAGAAGTGCAGATAAGCTCCTCTCTTAAAAAAAAAATGAACAAGAACAGCTGTTCAAATGTTGAAATGCAGCTGTTTTCCACTCTTACCTAAGAATGCCCCAACAAATTCTCTCTGAGAAGGTGTAGAGTTTGTGTACCAGCATAAGTAGATGGTAATAGCAGAGATCAGAAAATGAGCTCTTTACTGTTGCTAATGGCCTTTTTGATAGACCTATGTAAACAATGTGATAAATTTTCCTGTGGTTCAGAAGTTAGACTTGTGGATTGTGTATGAAACATTTTCAAGTGACAAACTTCTAAGCACTGAAATATAAAGAAGCTGCCTACATAATCTTAGTACACTAGACATCATTGCTGGAACAAGAACTGATATCAAAACAAGCTGGATCCAAGAGTTGTCATGTTGCTCATTAAGATAAAAATACACCAGAATGATTTGGCAATCAAATGCTGCTCTGTAGAGGTAGTAGAAATGCAGTTGAAAATTAACATTCTTAGATTCCCTTCTTAGAACTGCCTCCACCATGTTCATCTGTGTGTGTCAGTATGTTCTCCATCAAGAGTGATACAACCCTGTGTGCCATGGAACAGTGCAAGCTAAGGAAGCTTATACTGTCTATTTTGCTCTAGTGTTAACTTAGACTGCAGAAAGATTTTTTTTCTTGGTGCCCAGGGTTATTAGGGAGGGCATTTGTTGGTAAAGGAAAGAGGAAATAGCAGGGCAGCCTCCATCCAAAGTAGATCATAAAGATAAGTTATTATGTCTCCTGATGAGAAAAGAGGCAGCAACATTCCAAGGCTGTGTTTAGGAGTAACGTGCAGAATAGTGCCATGATAAGAGCACTATTTAACTTAGTGTCAGCCAGTAATCCAGATTGTGATCTGTTCTTGTGATTTGTGCATGTGTAAATATTTTAACAGCATTATTTATGAAGTGACTTCTCAGCTATTATATTTCAGGTTTTAAACATAATTCCAACACCTACTATTGCTACTACAGTTTAAAGCACACAGTTCCTATGGATCTAGTATTTGCTTTGCACTGTTCTTAATGTGATGTATTTGCACCTATCCCTCGTAAAGGCAGTCTTAATATCAGGCAGACACTGTTTATACTACCACAATGCACTATCATATATCGTGGTTTCTTTTTCTGCCTTGCATGAGTTAATGTCTGTACCACTGTGTGGAAGAGAGGGATTGCACTCTTTCCTTGTTGGCCTGAATAATGAATAAGATAACAGTAACTGGCTCCAAAGAGCAGTTGTGCTCTATAAGTAAGGCTAATGCTGCAATCTTGCCAGTTTACACAGGGAACTTTTCTTCTTAATCTCAGCAATTTTTATGTTGCATGATGTAGAGTGAGCAGATGCTGAAGTAGATTTATGCAGCTCTACTTTTGTTACAGACCAGCAAGGCCTGTGTACAGAAGCAGAGAGAAGTTATGTGCTATGATTCCCAGCAGTTGTTATCCAAATTTGCTATCTTTCTGATCTTTGCTTTGTAGTGCTCTTTTAGTAGCTCTGGGGAGTAGGGGGTGTTAATCATCACATGTTTTCTAACTGGAGAACTGAAGCTCTGTCAGATCAGGGACTGAGTTTTTTGGCCTAAAAACAGCACTTGCGTGTCTGCTTCACTTGAACCTGTTATAACATAACCATAACATAACCATGTAGCTGTGTGTTTCAATGAATTGGAGCCAGAATGCTCAGCAACTTGCAGTTTCAAGCCTTGGAAAATACTATCATAGTGAGTAAACTGACAGAAGCTGTTCTTTTATTTCTAAACGTCTGCCTTTCAATGTTCTACTTTGACTTTGGATAAAGCAGGGCTGGATCCAGTGCAGTAATGGATACTGCCTGATTTAAGCATCATCAAATGCTATTTTCTTTTCTAGCAGTGACTAAAGGAGTCTATTTTGTGACCTTTGTATAGTGACTGGCCTTAGGAGGAGGTGGATGGTGTTTTGTTCCTTCTGTGCCTCTGTTCTGCCTACCACTGTTGTCTCTTCTTTCTAGCATCAATTCTAGTTTTAGAATCAATCAGATCAGAAGCAGTACAAAGCCTAGTGCTATTAAAAAACAAGTGAAATAGTTAAAATGTTAGAAATATTTCAAGCTACATGAAGTCTTATTTCTTTTGTGACAATTTAAAATCGTATGTGTCGTGAATCTATTTGGCCTTTATCTGGAAGGATGATATCACCTGACATTAGGAAAACCTTTTCAGAGCTACAGAAAAAGCCTCTTCTGCTTGTTAGCAAATTGCAATATAATCATAAGAAAAGGGACTTCTAGGTCATATCCTACTTTGAAAAAACTTCATTTTCTTAGGATTGTTCAGGTTTTAGCACCAGCTATTGACATGATTGGTAACATTTAACTCTAAAACTTTGCAGAAGTCAATTTCTAGTGCATAATGCCAGGAGACTTTTGTTGTAGTAAGTAAACTACGAGATGTAAACAGATGCAAAGCCTACTTTGTCACCATCATGTGCATAATTCCCAGGTTGAAAGAAGTGATTTTGTTATCCAGGGATGTCCCAGGAGGAAATATGCTTCAGACTTCTTGTGAAAGAGCCATAGTGTGATTTGTTTCTGAATAATTGTAAGGGGAAAAAAAATAGTTCTAGGCAATATATTAACCCTTTTGGATCCTCCTTTAGTTAATTTACATTTTTAACATGTAAACTATTTGCCTGAAAATTACTGCAATCCACAAACCATATTAATTGGGTACTATGATTGCCTTTTTTCTCCTTCAGAACATTAATGTGGATGCAAGTACAAACACTACTCCATCGGGAATTCCTCGTGAGCCACTGTTGCCAGCTGCTTCTACATTGCCCAGGACGTTTGAAAGGTCTCCTTCACCACCCCAGTCTTCTGAGTAAGAATTTAACTGTATCCCTACATATGACTTTCAGTCACGTTTGCATTTACAGTTATCGGAAGTCCAAACGTAACACTGTAAACAGCTATTAAAATGTTGGGAAAATAAATGTTTTTTATTTAGTTTCTGAATAGTGTCACTATAATGATTCAAACTTAAATCAATAGATAAAAGTTTAGCATTGTATTTTAATCTTGACAAGTATTAAAAAAAAAACTTCAAATGTCTTAGTGTCTTGTATATAGGTAGCCTTGAAGCACAGAGCAAATGCATCATCCTGTGGGTAGTATCACTGTCCTCATAATAAAGTTTTCAGTAAGACTTGATTTGAAATCTGCAAGTCATATTCAGATGTCTGAGTAACAGGAGTAAAATAACTGCCAAATGCTATTAGAATGTCCCAAATAGTAGATTGTGTCAAGTTCCATGATAACTTCTATTTGTTTACAACTTGATAATATTTTTAAAAGCAATGCTAATGATAGCTGTAACTTGCTGGCACACTCTAATGTTGTAGTCATAGTCAAATACAGTTCTAGAGCCTTTCTTAGATGGATCATTTGTCCTCAAGTTTCAGTTCTCTTGACTTTGTTCCTGGTGGATGCTTTACAGGGACTCCAAGGTTGTGGATAAACAGCAGAGAGAGACACAGAGTACAGAAAGGCTTTCTTCTTCCACACTCAGTACTGCATGTAAATCGGTACAAGTCAATGGCGCTGCCATAGTAAGTGATCTTATTATTTCACTTTCTCTTAATGATCCAGTTTGATGCCTTTAACAGAATATTGCTTCTATTGCTATCCAGTGCTGCTAAATCATATGAACCAAGAATCTTTAAATCACAGCCTAAACTTGTGATTTATTGCAGAAGTATTAATAAATCCTGAAGTGTTGCTAAAAACAGAGCTATGTCAAAAATCAGTCTATGATAATAGCCTGTGACTATTGTAGTTCTGCAATTAACAGTGCAAAAAATATTCAAGATTACTTCTGATAAAGTTCTACCTGAACACTCTTCTTACTCGGAAGTAATCTCTAGTTAGTAGTGTTAATATGCTTTTGATATTTAAGCCAGTGTGTTCATGCTCTTTCAGTTGTGTTAGAGTTTACTTGAATTGGAATTTTTGTTCTATCAGTATTCCGTTTTTCTGGAGTACTGTGTTGTATTTACCTTGTCTCTTGCTCCTGTTTTCTGTACTACTTCTGTAAACTTCATATTCAAACTCTTATCTGCATATTTAAGCACAGTAGTTGCTTATGACAGAATATTTTACCTTTCATGAGTTAAATGATTTTTCCTCTGGAGGCTTTATCTCTGCTGTCCTGTTTGCTATTGGTTTCACAGGAACTGCGAAAACCTAGTTATGCAGAAATTTGCCAGAGAACAACTAAAGATCCTCCTACATTGCAACCACAGAAAGAACAGAAGCCAAACACTGTAGCATGTGGGAAAGAAGAAAAAAAGCCCACGGAAACAATAGAGAAAAACAGAGAACCTCCTCCTGCAAAGTCGCATCCAGGACAACCCAAAGACCAGAGAAGACAGTCAGGACGCAGATCGTCCCCTCCAGCTGTTGGCAAACGCTTAAATAAAGAACAGAGTACCCCTCCAAAATCTCCTCAGTGAAACTAGCACCTGGGAGGGATTTAAAGAGGTCTGCTTCCCACAAATTAAACCCATGTTCCCACTAAGATACCTGAGAATGAGTTGCTGGTTAGGAGCTTGCAGTGATACCAGGCATATAACAATGCCTGCAAGTTATTTTTCTGTGAAATCCTTTTTCCCCTCTTGAACAAACATTCTATTTTTTCTGGATATTTCTGGATAGTTGTTCTAAACCTTACATTTAGGTTGGTGCTTAATTGGAGGTGAAGCTTAGTGTGATTATTTTTTTCAGGATGTAAAATATTTGTCTTTAAAAAAAAGAATCAACTTTTTATTAAGCCTCTCTGTGGCTGTGTGAGTGCAAGCTCTGTATAGTGAGTTTTTTTCTAAACTGTTAAGCAGAAATGTGCTGCTGCAATATTTTTAATAAACTGGTCTGCAAGTACATATCTAAAGTGTCCAAAAGACTGATAACGGCAGCTAGTGTGTAGAGTGCAAGAAGTAGGTATATTTTACAAATTAGTATGTGACCTTTTTTTTATTGGGCTGCTGTACTAAACGTCAGCAAATGAACTTGCACTTTTAGGATAAACAAGTAGTTGTTTCTAGCATTTTTAAAACCTAATCTTTTTTTGATGTTTTGCACACACAGAATGAATCCCACGGAGCACCATGGCAGTCTTTCTAAAACACTTCCTTATTTTGACTTACTGCAAGCAAGTAACCATCTTCTCACTCCAGAATAAAACTGATATTATAATTTGCAAATACAAAGCACATTGTGAATAGAAAGAACTAAGTCTGTGAGCTTCTATGGTGGTGAAGCCTACTAGTGGATGTTATCAGGAGAAAGCACTGTAGCCTTCTTGTGATAACCTTAGCTTCCCTGTGCTTGTAAGGGAGTTAACTGAGTCAGCGCTGTATGTTCTGGTTACCCCTGTGCTCTGTGTAGACTTTTTCATTTTTAAATTCTGCCCCAAGTGCTCTTTGAAAGAGTTCATATCTTAGTCAGCCTCGTGTTGACGCCTTCCTGTAACTACAAGCATTGGCATACAGATTGAAATTTTTCAAGACGTGAGATAATGGTGTTTGTTTTGTGTGGTGGAGGAAGAGATCCCTGATATTTACCTCTGGGATGAGGTTTCTCACACTTATTTACTTTAGAAGTGATGCGCTTTCTGAAGGACAAGGATGCACTAAATTAGCAAGTTTCTAATAAAGTTGAATATAAATTATTTTTCTTTCAAAAATGCCTAAAGCTTTTCTTTAAGTGTTTAAACTGCAGGAAGTTCAGACTAAACTCATTCCTGCTGACTATGACAGTACAGTTTATTCCACAAAAATGTTTATTTAAACAACTGATTTTTTTAAGAATTATTTCCATCCAATATTTAAAGACTTGAATTTTATTTAAACTTGAAAATGACTTTGCCTTAACTTTTGTACAAGACAGCTTAGAGTTAATGAGGTCTGACCCCATTGAGGGTTAGCGTGAGTGGAATACAGAATTACTCAGTTACAGTATGTATCTATTGTCACTGGTCTTACTGGGTAAACATACTGTAGTACAGGAACTAGCAGCAGTTTTTGTAATATACCTTAAAGATCTTAAACAGTTGATCTTTTTCAGATTGTTGAAAAATCTGTAAATGCAAATAGTCAATACTGTATTAAATATGTGCACTTGGAAGTGTGTGCTTTGCTTGTACAGTTGTAAATAATCAGAACATATAAAAAGGTACCCTAAAGAAAAAATCTGATAAAAAATTATTGATATTATAAATGTTGCTGTTGAGCTGGATGTAGATAAACTAAATGTTGTGGTTTGAATATTACTTTAATTTGTTGTTTTTTCTTTTCCTTATTTTATTCTGGTGTGCTGAACTGACTCTGCCTCTTCACTGCAAAAGGGAAATGGAACGAAAGTCTTATTTGAAAGCCCTCGAGTGTTTTCCGAACCCTCTAAAAAGTGATTTAACCAATTCAGAAGTGTTCTGCAATGTAAATAGTGAATCTTAGCAGTGAAGCTGTAATTTTAAGTCATTAATAAAAAATGAAATGGAATTGGGAAAAAAATCTTAGACTGCTAAGAAAAATATACACGGAAGCTTACTTGTCTGCTTTCAAGAATATCAGTGCTTTCCTCAGCGTATGATTCATAGAACTGTAAAGTAACTCTAGAGGTAACTTCTGACAAATTTCCTGTTAGGAGCATCAGTCGGTAACTAGTTGACCTTTAAATCCAGCCTGTTGTATGCTGCGGAATTGGTTGAAATAGGGCACGCTGGAACCCATTGATTTTCCTTGTTTAAAAAGCACACTTTGTGAATACTGTGGAAGGAGATAGGACTCTTGACAACATCACCAAAACAGCTCAACTAGTTCTGTCATTGGATTTTGATGCGCTTATCCTTTCCCCGGTGGCAGTGAAAGTGGTAGCTAGATTTGTGTATGGTTAAGGCTGGCTGTATGGTTCGTTTTGTTTGTCTGCTGAAAGTGAAGGGCTTACCAGCTGCAAACAATCACAAGTGGTTACTTACAGACTGTGTACAGCTAGTCATAATGCTCAACTGGTACATAAGGTAATCTCTTGAGACCAGCAGGATGTGTTGTGCTGTTCTAATGTATTCTGCTGCCATTTGTGCTAGGTCAATACACTGTAATTACTGCTTACCCAGCAACAATCAGTTGCATCGAAAGTTTAAATCTTCCTCTGACGTGGTTTTTATAGCTTTTTTAAAAAAAAAGAAAAAAGAAAAAGTGACATGCCAAATAGCTGTGTAATGTACAACTTATCCTACTGCATTTTACTTTGGAGATTTTTTTTCCACTCGATGACAAAATGGAGTTTTCGGAATAGAGTTGTGAAGTTGCATGCAGACTGTTGCTACGGTGTATAGCGATGTTAAGATGTGGCTTTTAAATGGAAAAACCTCCCAAAAGCAGTAGCTGAGATAAAGGTCTGAAGATACAGTAATTAAAATTGGCATTTTACCTTGTAGGATTATGTGGTGCTGCTTTTCATTTTGAAAGCAATTTAAATGGGATCTGAGACTCTTCAAGGAATGAAAAGAAAATAAAACCAACAAAAGTTGCTTTTAAACTTAAATCTTGTTTCAGACCAGACCCCCCACTGACATTTGTCGCTTGCCACGTGGCAGTGTTTTATGTTGCTGCATTATCCTTTTAAAGACTTGAGCAGTTGTCACAGAAAGACCCTTGTTTGAGTGTGGTGCAGTGTATCACAAGCAACAGCTGACTGTAATGGTGCATACCTATCTCTGTATCTCCTTCAGCTAGTACAGTTAGGGATTTCATGTGCTTTGTAACCTATTACACTAATAGCAGCAGACAATCGAAGATTTCCAAGGAGACCTAACAGCTGCCAATTCGTGAAATACAAGTGTAATATGGAAGCCTTCTTGAGGGTTTTTTGTTTTTGTTCTTCTTCCATTAAGACTGGAATCAAGCTTACATGTAAACTATCAGTAATTTAAGTTTCCTTTTGTGTCATAAAATGTAAAACTGTCTAATTTGAAAAAAAAAAAAAATGTAGGTTATGAAAAATAAAGATTTAGGCACTGTTGAATTCCTGATTTTTTTTAATTAAACCTTTCTTCAGTAGTTCTTAATTATGTTTTGTCTTTTGCTCCCATTTTTGGAACTTGCATATTTCTGATTTGGGGGGGGCAAATGCTTATTGTCCTGTTCAGCACAGCTGTTGCAATCATCACCTAAGGCTATGTAGCAGCAGAAACACCTGTAGTACAACTGGAAGAGGCAGCAGCACCTGTTTGTGTGTGCTGAATATGATTAACTTGAGGGATTAAAACGGGAAAAAGCAGGAGCTGAGGTAACGTTCTGTTTGCTGAGGGTTATTGTCTTTGTTAGTGGTTTCTTTGGAATCTTAAATAAGGTCCTGACTTGATCTTAAACATGCATTGTGAAGCTTGGGTTAGGGTTGTGGTTGCTTGAATCTGTGCAGGTTGTGCCTTCAGGAAGGAAGAGCTCCCTCAAAGCACACCTGTTTTGGAAATACCCATAACAGGTTTTCTCCTTCAGATTTGCATTTCATTCAGCTGTATCTGATCAGGTTTAACAACAGACAGAAGTGTGGAAGTTCTAGCAGTTATTTGTGTGCATTTAGGGAAGCATCACAGTATTATTTCCAGGCTGAATGTTGTGTAAGTTTCCATTCAACACTGCTTGCTGCTTACGGTTTTCCCTGTCAGGCCAACAGCAATGCTGGTGTACATCAATTCCTGATGCATGGGGCATTGCAGGTTTCTCCATGTTAGAGAAGTGCAGAATGTCAGTTGAACGTTAGGATTTGGACATCGTGTGGGTTACAAGTAGCTGAAGACAACCAGTTTCCTATTACTTAACACGTAAAAATGCGTGGACGTTTGTCAGAAATGCCAGTTGCCACAATACAATTCTGACTCTTTGGGACCGTCCCTGCCTTGGCAGAAATTGGGGATTGATCTGTCCACACAGATTGGGTGGCATCTGCTTTGTGCTGCTCTCCCCAGTACAAAGTGAGGGCTTACTGATGGCACCAGTGTTCATGTTGGACAAACAGTTCTTCAAGCTGGGTATGAGGAGAAATAAGGAGTGGGGAAGATCATAGGTAGCTGAGTATCCAAGTTGTGTTTACTGTCTCAGAAACAAGAACTCGCCACTTCTTGATGCTGAGGCTTCTTCAAAACTTTAGAAAATGCAGAAAAAAACATTTAATGACATTCTTTTACTTCATAAAGTCCTGGAAAGCTGTTCTGTTGATTGTCACGGCCTGGCCTTCATGGGTCTCGTGGCTTGAGGCGGGAAATGATTTCAGCTAACAGCTGGTGCAGTGATGTTACCACATGGCCTCTGCTGTTGAAAGAAGGAGCTGCAGAGCAGTGCAGAGCCCTGATGTGACCCGGTTAAGCAGCTGAGTCACTGCACTACAGAAACTTCAGATAAGGATGTACACCTTTCTTACAATTCAGTGATCAGTGTAAGTGGATCACAGAGCAATTCTGTAGGCCTAATGCATGGGGTACTGTTAACGAATGGCAATGCTAAATGGGCATAACCAATACTGCTGATGTGGAATTGCTGGCCTACCTGCTGCAGTGGCCTTCCTTTATCAGCTCCCTTCGCGTGCCATCAGCTCACCTGTCAGTCTGAAAAGCAACCAAGAAAAATCCATCCGGTATGTGCCAAGCTGTTGTCTCACAACCATGGTGGTGGTTGGACTAGATCATTGTGGTTTTTTCAATGTTAATGGTTCTATACAGACTTGCCTGTGTATGTGTGCTATTATCATACCCTAAGAGGATGTATGAGGTCATTTTTGAGACTTGTTTTCACAGAGGGGAGAAGAAAGGAGGACAAAGGGTCAGTGTTTGCTTTACTGGCTGTTCTTGTAGGTAAGCTGTAAATATGTCAAGAATTGATTAATGATGGCAGTCTATCAGACTCCTGTGTGTTGTCACAGCAGCTTGGGGAGCAGTTCAGGTGTTCATAAAATGGAGCATGGTGTGTGTGCTGGAGCAAGAAAGGTTGTGACAAAATTGCTCCCCAATCTATTAAATTCTCACGAGTTTGAAGAGTAAATTGCTCCACGTGCTTGTTATACATGTATGGAGAGGGAACTGTTCTGTGGTTTGATAGCTTTACATCCCACATGCTGCAGGCAGTTGTTTGCAGAGCAGTAAATCTGCCAAGCTAAGGGTGCTCTGAGGAAGGAGGGATAAGTGGCTGAATTTAGTATTGTAAAATGTGCTGAAGCTGGGAAGGCCTATGAAACCCACATGCCAAGGTGAAGTTACTGGTACCTAGTATGTCTCCAGTGACTTCCAAAGCAGGAGCTGTATGCACAGTGCATGCAGTGAGATGTGTCCTCTTTCTAACAGGACACATAAGGGTGTTTGTCATTTTCCTGGTATATTCTCCTCTATCGATTCAGTTTTGTCATTCTTGAGAGTCGTATCACTTGTGGAAGGTGACAACTGATCCTTGCCCCTAAGAATTATACCTATTTCCAAAAAATAATAGGCTCAGCATCTAGAAATATTTACTGCTTTTGCTGTGATTTTTTTAATCTTTGAGTATTTATGCCTATTTCTGCATTTGTGTTGTTTGTTCTGCTGAAATCTGTACTCCCTTCACACTGGCAAATGCTAGCTCCAACTTGTCTAACGTGCCTCATGGTGGTGTTGAGAGGAGATCTGCCTTAAAGAGGAGACAAGAAAGAAGTGCTGGAAGCACCTGTGGATTCAGACACAGATGTAACCAATTTGCTCCAGTGATGTGATCACTTGGGCTGGCAATCAACAGCCTCCTTGATAGCAAATCTTGTTTGAAATAAATCTTTGTCTTTTTGTTTAAATGAGCCCTTCTCATGGAGACCTACATATAGCCATGTTGGGGAAGCATTGCTGGCATCCTGTGTTCTGATGCATGCTTTTATCCCTTCCTAGACAACCTAAAGGCAGCAGCACCGGATTGATTGTGTGGCAGTTAAGTGCCAGGCTTAATTCACTGAATGTGAAAATCAGTTGAACAAGAGGCTCTTTGTAATTGGATTTTAGTTCTTATATGGTCCAGGTCTTCGGCCCGGGTGATCTTCAGAGGTTCTCACTAACCCAAGCTGCTGGCTGGGAGGGAGGTGATAGGAAAAAAAAAATCACACTTCAACTCCTCTGCTTTGGTTTAGTAGCAGATAGTTTTTAGTGTAGGTTTTTTTTGTACTATGTTGTGAAAAAACATGTTTTGATTTATCTTTATTAACCATGTTTCAAAGCTGTCAACAAGTGTGTGATAAAGGTAAAATCTTCTAAAGAATGTATTACTAAATGCTTATTTTTAAGGCATCTGAATTGACCAGATCTGAAGAATCACTGAAATTTCTACTGAAAATGATAATACTTTCTAATAATAATATTTCCCCTGGAGGATGCTGGTTTTAGTTCGTTAATTCTCACTGCTCTAATCTGGTAATCGTAGGCAATAGAACTGCATTAATCATAAAGATCAGGAAAGGCCACTGAGACTATTCTAACTGTTAGCCCATCACAAGTATGCCCACTCTTTTCCCTATGGTGAGTCTGTTTAGCCCATGCTGATAACATAGGAATGGTTTCCCTGTCCTTATCTCAACCCTTGAGCCCTTTTTTCCTTCTGCACTTCTGAGGAGGGGGAGTGAGAGCAGCTGTGCTGAGCTGATGGTGTGAAACCACTGCAGCTCCACCTTGAGCTGCTTGGCAGGATTACTTGGGATATCCAAATGTATTCTGACTTCATTCCACATCTGTAAGAGCTGTTCCTGAAGGTGATTAGATTGATGGTATGAGAAAGGGTGAAAGGCATTTGTATTAAAAATAACAAAAATTGTCAATGGTCATTTGCACTGGGAGAAGGTGCAGGTGTCCCTGCTTTGTGATGCTTCATTCTGCTGTTTGGCCATCAGCACTGCTTCTGGGCTTCTGTATCTCATAGAGCACCAGGCCTCAGCTCCTTGGCACCAAAGGGATCCTGCATTACTGGGTAGCAGTGGGAACTGGGCACTGCGGGCTGGATCTGAAGATGAGGAGGTCAGAAATGAATGTGGTTGGCAGCTGCAGATGTGTTTTATGGAGATGAGTCCAGCGATGGCTGCTGAAGCCAAAATGGTGATGCAAAGACAAAGGTTTTGCTTAAAGAAACACAGCAGAGGGCAGGGAAAACTGAGTTTTGTGCCTGGAAGGGGGAATAACTCAGAGAGGTGAGTGGTGCTAAGTGGGCACAAGCACTGTGATGGCAATGCTTTTCCATTAGATGTGCAAGAAAAAATTGCTTTCCACTGCTGGTTATAATGTCCTCCCATCCTTCCCCCAAAGCTGCCATGTCAGACTGAGCTCAGTATGCCCAAAACTTCTGAGCAAATGACACCAGGTTTGCCTTGTAAGCAGTTAAATGGGAAATTATCAGGCTGTTATCTGCTAATACGGCATCAAAGAGCAAGGAATGCACATCTAATATGAAGAAATTAAGTTATAAGCTACTAGGCAATGGTTGGGATTTGCAGCTGTACATAAATTTAATTGTCTACTTAGTTGATGGAGATGGGATCAATAGGCAGTGGGGGTTGGGAACTCATTTCTCTGCATCTTGATCTGCTGAACATGGATCCCATGCTTTGATCTGCTTAAGGAGCTCTTTAGGCTCTTCTGAAACATGAGGGCACCGATACAGTGCTGGTACAGACATCTCAGTCTGACTGTCTTGGTCCATTAATTCAATTCCACCCTTGAAAAGGGCTCTGATATGCTTCTTTATTCACACACATCGCATAATTTTTAGTGACTGACAGTCTTTGTTTGGAAGTGCCTGCAGGCCATAGTATGGCTTTAGATTTGCTGTGAAATATTGTCCTAGATACAGATTTAGTAAAAGCTGTAGAATCATAGATTAATTCTGGTCTGAGGAGATCTCATGAGGTCTTTGAGCATTTTGCTCAAAGCAGGATCAGATGAGGCTACTTGTGGCTCTTGAAAACCATCCAAGCCCCACCCATTGCAGTGACCCCTGCACTGCCTCATAGTGCTCTTTATTTGGAGGCGC